AAAAATGTCTGGGCATGCAAAGAGGCTTGAAGACAGAACCTACAATAAGAAGAGAAATCCATCAGATCAGAACTGACGAAGACGTCAGACTTAGCAGGCAAGAACTTCTTTCTTGAGTTATTGAGGTCAACGCAATACTGAAGGAGGAGGACAAAGTTGGAGAACTGATGTGCCTTCAAGACTCACTATAAAGCTATTGTGATCGAGACAATGTGGGTCAAGACCAGTAGGTGAAAAGTAGACAAACAGGTCAATGGAACAGAATAGAGCCCAGAAATAGACCCACAAAAACACAGTCAACTGATCTTTGACAAAGGAGCCCAGGGACTACAACAGAGCAAAGAGAGCCTCCTTGACAAACGGTGCTGGAACCGCTGAACGTCCACAGGCCAAAAAACACATGCAGCTGCGGGACTCACAGCCTCCACAGAAATTAGCTCAAAATGGATCACAGACCGAAATGTAAAGCGCAAAGCCATAGGCCCGAGAAGGTAACATGGGACAAAGTCTAGAGGGGACCCTTCAGCTACGACGCCAAAAGCGTGAGCCGTGAAGTAACTGGCGGATAACCGGGCTTCATCGAAGCGGAAAACGTCTGCCCTGTGAAAGACAGTGTCAAGAGAACTAAAAGGCCCGCTCAGACGACAGGAAACACGCGCAAAGGCACACTGCATAAAAGGCTGTTACCCAGGGTACACAAGGAACTCCTGAAACTCAGTAATAAGGAAAAAAGATTAATTAAAAAAATGGGCAGGAGGCCTGAACAGACACTGTGCCAGAGAAAAGGTGCAGATGGAAAGTAACCATGTGAAAAGATGTTCCACAGTGTATGCTAGTAGAAAAACTCAAATTAAAACAAAAATGAGAAACCACTGCACTCCTATCAGAATGGCACAAAAAAGGGAAAAGTCTGTAACACTGGCAACACGGAACGCTGGTGAGGAAGTGGAGCAACCGGAGCTCTCATTCATTGCTGTGGGAACACAACATGGGACAGCCGCTCTAGAAGACAGTTGGGTTGTTTCTTACAAAACTAAGCATATTCTTACCGTGCGAGGCAGCAAGCATGCTCCTTGGCCTTTACCCAAATGGACTGAAAACTTACGTTCACACAGAAGCCTGCACATGGATATGTAGAGCAGCTTTATTCATAACCGCCAGAACTTGGAAGCAACTGTGATGTCCCTCAGCAGGTGAATGGATAAATAAAGTAGGTCGTCTGAATGGAGTAATATTTAGAGCTAAAAAGATATGAGGTATC